AGCCAATGTGTTAGGACTTCAGGTGCTTTTTGGCACAAAGCTAGACTGCGACCTCCTACCATAGCGCTTGGCGTCACCTGCTCTCCCGGCCCTGCCCCGGGGCCGAGGGATTGCGTCCCGAACCAGGCTTGGGAACCGGCTGCCTCTCAAGTTGGTGTTATTTATGTTTGTCTTTTGTGAGGGCAGGTTTTGAGTCCCCCGGCGGCCTCATCTCCCCCGCCCCCGCCCCCTCGGGTTCGAATTGGCCGGGGAGGGAGTGGGGTGTATGTGTAGGGGGGGGGGAGGGTGTGTAAGGCTTAAACAAATGTCAGGGTACAAGGAGATTGTCGATGCTTTACCAAAAAACAGGCACCACACTCTCAAGCCTTTCTTGTTTGTCTGCATGGGCCATGCATGCGTGCTGGGCCAGGAGCCGAGTTTGGAGGCGGTTTCAGTGAAAGTGTGTGCTTCCTCAGCTGATTGTGCGTGAGGGTGATATGGCTCGGCCTAATATTAAAAGACAAAACAAAGCAAAACAAAATGAAAAATCTTTAGCACGACATTGTCTGCGCCTCGGCAGCTCTTGAAGTATTTGATTACTGGCATATTGATATAAAATCCAGCTGTGGGCTAGTGGAGACCAGCAAGCATGCATTGCGTTGCATTTTGAGCTTGTAGGAAGTTAGGGGCAAGTAGGAATAAACAAATCAGGGTTATGAGAAGAGGTTTCATGTTATGTTTGCTTTCTGATCGTCACGTTCTCCTACATTTATTCCCATGATATTCTACACCTCACTCTATAATGAATACTATCCACTCTTAGGAAACTTCCCAATATTAGATGTAACTGAACTTAGAGTGAAAGTTACTTTCATGTGAGAACTTTCTTCTGCTTGTTTTGGTCTGAAATGTACTAATGTTGTTTTGGGGATGCTGCAAATCAGAATATTGGACCAGAAAGAGTGAAATAAGCCTCTGTAGGCATATTATGGACTTTGTAAACATAGAATCCAAACTTTGAATTGTGCTTACCCAGAAAGATTAAATTCTACCTGATGTGGAGCATCCCAAATGAAATTCTTTTTTTTTTTTTTTTTTTTTAAGACCATTCACAAAAGCAACCAAAACTTAGGCTAAAGTAGTGTGCTTATGTGTAACTCGTGTGTGTATTAGTGTGTGATTTCGGTAGGGACCTCCAAATTGAAACATTTTTGTTACCAAGGACCAATCAGAGTTATAACTTTTAAATTCTTGGCTTTTAAATGACCATTTCAATAAGTAATTTTTTTTTCTGTTTGATATATGACTGAGTCACTTTGAAAAGTGTATTCTTGGTTGACTAAACGTACATTTTCAAATAAGTAAATGAATGCAGAAATTCATTCTTTTCTATTACAGATGAACCTCTAGTCTTGCTTTGAAAAAGCCATTTTGTGTAACTCTTGACTGAATAATTTCCTAATACACCTGTTGGGAGGATCACTGATACAGTATGCCATTTGAGAGGTACTTTTTCTTGACCAAATACTCTCTTGATTAGAGAAGAGAGGTGTTTTGTTTTTTTGTTTGTGTTTTCCTGGTCATTATGAACATTGGCTTTTCACCCCTGAAGTAAAAATGTTGAAAACCGAGTCTTCAGGTGAACGAACCACTCTCAGAAGTGCCTCTCCTCACAGGAATGCATATAGAACTGAGTTCCAGGCACTGAAAAGTACCTTTGACAAACCCAAGTCAGATGGGGAACAAAAAACAAAAGAAGGTGAGGGCTCCCAGCAGAGCAGGGGGAGGAAATATGGCTCCAATGTCAACAGAATTAAAAATCTATTTATGCAGATGGGTATGGAACCCAGTGAAAATGCTGCGGTCATTGCCAAAACAAGGGGGAAAGGTGGACCTTCATCTCCACAGAGAAGAATGAGGCCCAAAGAATTCCTGGAAAAAACAGATGGCTCAGTTGTTAAGTTGGAGTCCTCTGTTTCAGAACGAATTAGTAGATTTGACACAATGTACGATGGCCCTTCATATTCTAAGTTCACAGAAACTCGGAAGATGTTTGAGAGAAGTGTGCATGAGTCAGGACAAAACAGCCGCTATTCCCCAAAGAAAGAGAAAGCTGGAGGGAATGAACCTCAGGACGAATGGGGTGGCTCCAAGTCCAACAGAGGCAGTACTGATTCCTTGGACAGCCTTAGCTCCCGGACGGAGGCTGTTTCCCCAACTGTGAGTCAACTGAGTGCAGTATTTGAGAACACTGATTCCCCCAGTGCCATGGTTTCTGAGAAGCCTGAAAACGAATACTCAGTGACTGGGCATTATCCCCTGAATCTACCATCTGTTACTGTTACAAATCTTGACACCTTTGGTCACCTTAAGGATTCAGATTCTTGGTCTCCTCCAAGCAAACACGGTGATGATGCAGAGGATGCTCAGAAGAGTAATACAAGTCCTGTACCAGAAGTGGCTTCGAAAAGTACCTCTCTAGCTTCAGTGCTTGGTGAAGAAACACAGCAGAGCAAGGAAGCCGAGGACTCCACATCTAACCAAGAGACTCCTGACAGAATTGACAGAGATCTTCCTGAGGAACCTTGTGCTGCAAATAAGGCGATGCCAGAGTCTGAAATCCTTTCACCACAAAACGAACCTTTAGAAGATGCCGAAGCTAATTTAGTTGGGAGTGAGGCAGCAATGCATCAGAAGAAAGAACTTGCAGGTGGTGATTTTACCTCTGCTGATGCTCCTGGATCCAGTTGTGGAAAGGAAGTACCCGAAGATTCAAATAATTTTGAGAGTTCCCATGTTTACATGCACAGTGACTATAATGTGTATAGGGTAAGATCCAGGTATAATTCAGACTGGGGAGAGACAGGCACTGAACAGGATGAGCAGGAAGATAGTGATGAAAACAATTACTATCAACCAGATATGGAGTACTCGGAGATTGTTGGATTGCCAGAAGAAGAAGACATCCCAGCAAATAGGAAAATTAAGTTTAGTAGTGCTCCAATTAAGGTAAGTATGTTTTCTCAGTTTGGTTTTGAAGTTTTTCCTAAGTTTGTGTTTGGTTTTGTTTTGTGGTTTTTTTTTTTTTTTTTTTTTTAATATTTGGGCCTAAATGTTTGCAGCATAGATTTGACAGCCCTAAGGATTTCGAGGTTGTTAAGATACCCGTGTTGTCAGGTGATTTTAAAAGTTTGGGAGAGATCCACATATTTCCTTAATATGCTTTATGGTTGCATAAACCAGTATTGGCTAAGAGTAAAGTTGAAGAAGTTTGGGGATTGTGAGATACATTCCAATGGACTGGAGTATGAATGACACGTACACTGAAAACCAGGAGGGTTAGTTTGAAACAGAATTACCTCTTTAACTGATTTTACCTAAAATTAGCCAGAAGTGAGAAAATTTCCTGAATACCTCTAGGATATGAGGTATAATGTACAATGGGAGAGTTATGGTGACCTTGAAATAATAGTCTTATTTACTTGCTTAAAACATCTGAGTTATCTCTTACTTGAGTGTAAGTGGATTGTGAGGAATGTTGAAACTTATCTCTTTTTTTGTACTGCTACTTGGTAGTGAAAGTTTGATTCATGGAAATATATTAGCGGACTTAAATGCTTTAATTGGAAAGCTATGACTGTAAGTAGCTTTGAGTTCAGGATTTGTGATGTAGCACTGAAATGAAATTTTATGAAAGGAAATTAAATTGATTTGTCATTCCGGGATATATTTTTACCTCTTAAAAACTGAATAAATGCCAGTTGAATTCAGATTCTCTATTCTAATGACTTCACTTAGTTAACATTCGGTATAGAAGAAATAGCACAATGTACATCAGTAGCGGGTAGTGAAACATTATTAGCTGATAACGGCAATAGGGGCAGGAGGTAGTGGGTTGAATATCACAGTCTCCTTGGAGTGGTTTTTCAACGTGTACTTGCGCACCAGCTCTGTCCTAAGATTGTGGCATGCCCTCCTAGGGGAATCTGGAAGGTTGTGGTGGTAGAATGTGTAGTCTGAAACCACTTCCTAGGGACTTCTAGCTTATCCAATATGTATGTGTCATAGATTTGGAATTTGATACGGTATCTTTTAAAAGAATCTAAAATCACTGTCTGTTGTTATTTCCACCTTATGAAACTTCCATATAAGGCTGTAAGGTCTGTAGATTTACAAAGCAAAGAGAAATTTGACTTTGTCTTAATTATGAAATACTATTTTGAAATAAAGTGATAACCTGTGAAACTATTTATGGATGTTAGCAGGCAAACTTTCATGTCATTAGTGTAAGACAAAAGCTCTGGGACAGAATGGGCCATGTCAAGTTAAACTATGTTTAAAATAACTGTAGATGTGTTATAAAATAACTAATATAGTGTGGTTTCAGAGTAAGCCAAGTTTCTTTGCTGTGCTTTTCCACTTTCCATTGTGAGCCTCTCCCCTACTCCCCCCCCCCCCCCCAATTCTAGGCTCTCTCTTTAGAGGTGTCTTTCCCTCAGGCCTAACCAGAGAGCTCCAAAATTTCACCATGCGTGTTTCCTTCCCAAGTGTTCTCCTTTGAACATCATCTTTTTACCCCTTAGGAAGAAAGCAATAAGATTAAATTGTTTCACATTGAGCAAGGCAGGAATAACTGAAATGAACTCTTCAAGGAGTTTGTTAAAACCAGTGACTAACTCCCTAATGGGGATAGCAGCTTATGAAAATTTATCAAGTCCAGCACTACCTACTCAACCAAAAGGGGCACCAGCCTTGTATTTGGGTCCTGTGCTGCCCCAAACGTAACTGCACAGTAATAGATGTAATGAATTTTAAAGGATTTCTCTTTGAAATATGGCTGTTTATATGTGAACAAATCAGGTTTGGGGTATGATATTCTGAAATTCAAGTGATTTTTTCCCCCCTACTATTGCTTATAAAAAAAGCATTTTGCCTCTTAACTGTCACGTAATAAAGAAACTGTATTTCATACAACAAAGAATGAAATAGATTACATGCATAAAAGTTTAACACATTTTATCAAGAACATAGATCAAGATTAAAGTTTGTGAAACAAAAATAATGCACTGCGTTTTAGTGGGCAGTTAACAGTACTAGTTGGAGTGGATTAAGTTTGCAAACAAAAGATTCATTCTTAGCCCTTTGTAATGAATAAGACAATTGCTCTTTGTTGTTGTTCTGATTGTTTAGCATGTGAGTGGATTCACTTGGGAATTTTGAGAGCTACTTTTCTACTGGTGGTGGTGATGGTAGAGTTTAGATTATTCTCCAATTAAGATTTTTGCCTCAGAGGGTGGTAATAATTAAATTCAATAAGTATTTATTGAAGGCTTGTCATGTGTCTGTTTTCATGCTGTTAGCTGCAGAAGACACACAAATCTGTAATGTTACCTCTCTCTTATGTGAGCTGGTGGAGTCAATTCTTAAACTTGATATTTAAAACCCACATAACAGTCTGAAAACCTGTGCTGAAATGTCTAATGTCCTATGAGGACTTTAACTGTCCTTGGCTGTGCTAAATGCATGGACTGAACAGGATTTGATAGACCATTTGGAAGGGAGAAAATGCTGAGCCATTCCCTATGTATGTTTCCTTATTCTTTTTATAAAGATTCACTTATGGGATGGTAGATTCTGATTTCCAACTTAAATCTTTTTCCTTTGAAATTTAAACATACTTCCTCTTTTAGCAACAAAAAGTGGACATATTCCTTACAAAAATGATCTTTGGAACTTTTATATTCTTTTCCTGATAGTCTCATCTTAAGTCTTCACCAGGGTAGAATTTCTCAACACTTTCAGACTTTTGTTTTACGTCTTGTTTATGATCTTTGTATGTGTGATCATGTCCTCGGTTTTTATTTCAATTCTTCTCTAGATGCCTTGAGTCTGTATTTTCCCAAGATACCTTAAATCTGGACCTAGAAAAACATCAGAGTAATAGCTGATCTTCCCTGTGTAGCATATTACTTATAAATAATTGTTGGTGAAATTTAGAAATGCATTGTTTCTTAATGGATTGGTTGATGTGTTTCATAGTGTTGTCAAAAATGGGATTAATAATGGAAAATATAAAATCCAAGTTTGAGATATGGAATGAGAGTGTTATGAACCATGCTGATTTGAGATGTGGAATTATGCCTTCATTCTCAGGAATTTCTCAAAACCAAGAGATCCAATTCATTGAATTTGCTTTAAATGAATCCAGGATAGAAAAGGTGACATTTTTTATTGTTTGCCCCCCCCCCATTATTTCAGAACATTTACTGAGCCCTTACTATGTGTCAGGAACAATGCAATATACGATAAAATGTAATAAATGCATAAAATGACTGGAGCTGATCAGGTCAGCGAGTGCTGGTAGATGAAATGTATAGCCCATTAAGGACGCTTCTCAGGCTATTCTGCTCAACTGTTCTTTGCTATTCTTTCTTAGGTCACTGCAACCTTCTTAAGGAAGTCCTAACCCTTTCTCTGTTTCCGGTAGCCTTTTGTCCTTTGGATAGGTGTTCTTGAAACACAGCAGAGATGAAAAAGGTTATTTTCCTAGTTTACAGCAAGAGGGAGATTATAGGGTTAATGATAGTGTAAGATATATTGCGCTGTACTTTTCTGAGTGTTTTCTCAAACTGTTTGGAGCTTTACAGAGCTGAGATTCAAAGGAGAATCACCAAGGGCAGTATTGCTTCTCTAAACCTTACATGATACTTGTTGAAAGTGGGTCTCAGCATTCTCTATCTCTTCTGGAACTCTGAGTTGGTACACAGGGCATATATGAGATTTTATATTCAGGATACTGTTTAGGATGTAGTGCTGAGGTCCAAATTTCTGTCTTTTTCTTTCTTCAGATAGTCTCCCTCGGTGCTCTTAAACTTTAATATGCTTATAAATCACCTGGGGATCTTTTAAAATGCAGATTTCTGATTCAGTAGGTATTTTGTGGGAAATTATCTGGATGCAATGGTTAGTCTCCAAGTACACTACCAGCGTTCCTACAGGTTGTGGAATTGACAGGCTCAGCAACCAAATTAAATGTTTGAATCACACTGTTTCAAACACACAGCCAGTAGCAAGAGGAAAGCCATGGGGTAAGTTAGCACACTTAAGGTGCAAAGGTTGAAAGGACCACACTATGGGAGGCCTGGGTACACAATATTCATGTGTCCTGACTCTCTTTCACATCACTCTTCCCATTGAGGGTGTGGTCAGAGTTGATTTTTGAGTAAGGGCTCTACGTACTAGTAATACTCTGGGCTCATGATAATTCTTGCTCTATAGAAGAGAGTAGGTATAAGTACACTTACATACAACTGTAGTTTTGCCAGTTTCCCTGGTTTTATTTGTGTTTCTTGGGTAAAGCACCTGTGGGTCTGGAATAAGACCAGGATGGGCGTCCTCGGTGGGTGGCTCATATGGAGATGATACAGCTGCCAGTCCAGAGATAGAATGATGATGATTTAGTCTTCCCATGTCTTTCTTTCTACAAGTGAACCTCTTGTTTGTTCCATCATATTTTCTATTTGGGGATGTCTTATGGCTTACTAAGTTAACTATTTTTAACACATCTTATGAATTTTGCCTTTGTTTTAGAAGTTCATAGGCTTTTATTATCTATACCTAATTGGGCCTCTTGAGTGTTGCCTTTACCTCATAAGCTATTAGCTTCCTTACCATCAATGACTATCACTTCTTATGAGTTTTATCCATCCCATTTATTTTCTTGACCTTTATAACAGAATTTAATATTCTTGAATAATACAGCAGATTCACAGAACATTAGGTCTCAGGTGAGACTGCATTCTCAAGTGGGTGCAGAGGCTGCTGGTCAACAGATCAACTCTTTGGAATCTGATTGTGAAGTACAGTCTTTTGGCTTCTGAAAGGAGCCGGTCACAAAATGTTGGGGAAGCCCATTTAACACATTTGCTTTCCAGACCCATCTGCTGTGGCTGTTTGTGTAAAGTAATATTCTTTGCAGCTGAAACAGGTGTAAAGTAGTAATGTGCATG